TTTTTTATGTAGCCCGATGGACCACGGATCAGATATTAAGCTGATCAGAACAGATTCTACACTTGATCTCAGCCAGTCTCTCCAGGAATGCCAGCATACACCGACCGGGACCAGGATATGGCAGAAGCATTTCAGTGCTTCCTCAAGGCAGCCCCCACCCTGCGCCCACGCGCCTCTTCTCCCTCACCGCCTCCGCCACCCCAACCCTAGGTTTTGGCACCATGCAGCACTGATCTCAGCTGCACAAACGCGATCCCCCACAGCCCAGGCGCACGCTCAGATAAAAAGTTCAGAGGCGCTAGCGCTAACGCTAACGCTCGAGAGCGCTAAAATGGCTCGCTGAGACTAGTGCTAGCGCTAGCGCTCTCGAGCGTTAGCGTTAGCGCCTCTGAATTTTTTATCTGAGCGTGCGCCTGGGCTGTGGGGGATTGCATTTGTGCAGCTGCGATCAGTGCTGCACGGTGCCAAAACCTAGGGTTGGGGTGCCGGAGGCGGTGAGGGAGAAGAGGCGCGTGGGCGCCGGGTGGGGGCTGCCTTGAGGAAGCACTGAAATGCTTCTGCCATATCCTGGTCCCCATCGGTGTATGCTGGCATTCCTGGAGAGACTACTGGAGGAAGGAGGAGATGTGTGGTGGTCCGAAGGGCGGGATCTGGGAGCCGTACATACCACTACGTGAAACCTGTCAGGGATTTTGTCCCCTGGCTTTGATACGGAGTCAGAAGCTGGGGTTTCATGGGGAGATGAGCCACCCATGTGCATCGACAAGCGCTGGCTTACGGGAGAGCGACACTAGAGCTTAGCTGTGACTGGTATCGCCCACCGTCGTCGACAACGGGCTTCAAGCTGTGATTGGCGTCGCTTAGCGTTGCAGTTGCTCCTACTTTGGGCGTGGTGCAGTTTGCAAATCTTAATCCTTAATAGGCTCTTAAGTCTGTGTACAGTAAGTAGGAGGGTTAATTAGTTCAATTTGCTGTTTGTTTTGTTGATTGTTGGGTGGAATTCTGTCGGGTTTCAGTTGTTAGGGTTAGTGCTGTTAATTTGTGTTAATTAGGGCGGGATGTGGTGTTAATTACAGTTAATTAGGGTGCCACGTCGCAGGTTTCCCGGTGCAGCGGTGGGGTTAATCCGGGCCGACGAGACTGGTTCATCCCTGCAGGGCGTGGTTATTGATGTGAGGGACGCTGGACCCGTTTTCCAGCCTGTGATGATATAATATACTCCTTTTTCTGTATTAAAAAAAAAAAAAAAAAGGCCTCCCCCCCGCCAACCCCAACAAAGAAAAAGAATAATAAAGTGTCCGCTGTCGAGTAACTCGTGCATCAAGATGCCTTGGCCAGAGGGGCGCTGAATTTCTTTATATTATTTCTTTTTTGAGAAGGCGGGGGGGGGCGAAATCAATTGCAGAAACCAATCAGAGTTTGACAAAAAGGTATAAAAAAAAAAAAAAAAAAAAAAAGACAAACAAGAACGGATCAACCTGAGAGAGAGACACGTGGCAAGCAAGGGACGCAGAGCACGTGGAAAACAAGGGACGGCGAACACGTGGCAAAAAACAAAAAAACAAATACAATAAAAAAGAAAAAAAAGGAACGAAAAACACGTGGCGACAAGTGTCGAAGATCACGTGACAGGCTTACGACAGTGCTGGCTAGGAAGAGTGATGACGGGCAGGCAGGCAAAAAAATATATATATATATATATATATATATAAAAAAAAAAAAAAAAGAAGTGGAAGAGGCAGTGGGAGGAGGCGAAGGAGAAGCAACAAGGGAGAGCGAGCGAGCGAGAGAGAGAGAGAGAGAGAGAGAGAGAGAGAGAGAGGATGGAAGGGAAGAGGCGGACTAGCAAGAACAAACGGTGTGTCCCCCAGAACTAACCTTGAGGGGTCTTTGTCATCGCAGGAGCCCGAACCTCCGAGCTACCGAATGCATGTGACGTGTGTCATCCCAGAGGGGGGGGGGGGGTGATCGTCATTTGCCTTCTCGGCTTCTTGGGTCGAAGCCCGTCGAGCTGTGTTCATCTTGGGGCCCGGTCACACACAGGTTGCGTGTCCCACAGGGCGTGTCCCACAGGGCTTTCCCTGTTGTCGCACACTCGTACTTTGGGCACACAAAACGAGAAAGGGAAACTAATGCATCTGCCAGCGGAAATGGCCAGGTTCATCGGTTTGCTATAGACAGTAACGGGTGTATTTTGCCACTGTTCGTGGGCAGATGCACTCTTTCAAACAGATAATGGGCCAAGTCAGAAAATACGCCGGTGTATCGTTCCATGTTCTAGGGGAATTTCATTGGGTTTCCATGTTTTAGCAGAAGATTCATTGGGTCTGCCTGCACTACTCTCCAGTCTCCGATTTGGGAGAGTTTTTTTTTTTTTTTTTTTTTTTTTTTTTTTCACAGACGTATGAGAGTCCTGGTTATTGTAGAGGCTGGATTACAGACATATGAGAGTCACCTTCGACACTCGGCCATGTGGTAGACGCCCCCTAATCGTATAGTACTCCCTCCCAACCTACCTCTTTCGTAATTCTCCCGGCGCACTCCTACTCCCACTATCCTACCTCAGTGTCTACCACTCAGGATCATCACCCTCCAGCCTTGGGGGTGACCTGACCGAACTGTGGTTGTAGGTACCAGGGCTAAGCTGAGTCCCACACACCCCACTCAGCCCTGATGGAAGCATATTTGTGCGAGCCTTGTAGCCCAGGTACTTCAGGTGCCAGGTACAGACATTTCACTACAAGTCCCATAGGTGCACTAAGGGCATATTCACACAGGGACCTGATAACCCAAATTCTCAAACTTCGAGGCAGTTTTAGGCTCACAGCCTGTAACCCAAAATCTCAAAATCTGAGGCAGTTTTTCGGTCACATTGGGTCCTCCCGCTACCCTATTGTTCTTTTTGGTTACCCAGGACAACCCTCAATTGAAGGGTTTAACCTGCACAAGCACCGGTGGTTGGCCTCAGTTTGGTTGGCTCGGTTTGGCCGGTCCCTGCCGGGTCCACCCCACTACCCCAACTGTCTTTTCAGGAACCCACTTCGAGCTCTCCACAGTTGTTCTTCTTCATCTACAGTTGGAACTGTTTTGAGAATTTCCTCTTCTGAGCCTTTTCAAGATTCACGGGGGGATTGTGCTCTTTTCAGCATCTAGGATCAAGATCAAGAGTCCAAAGAACTCGCTCAGGATGCAGGAGGGCCTTGCTGGGTCGACCACTGCCACTCCCCTGTGTGGCGACTGTATACGTAACCGGTTGAGGACCGGTCGCTGGGGGTTGCGAAGATTCACGTGGAGCGCCCTCAGGAGTTCGTCCACCTGCCGCTGCGCTCATTGCATAGGCGAATCTCTCACAATCACAACACTATCAGCCACTCGCCGGATGAGAGCTCGTTTTCGTCGCCAATTTTGGCACTATTCACACTCTCGCCACGCACTATAGCACACACTCCTTCTGTCTCTTCTCTACGCGACAGTCGCTGCGAGTCTTCAGGCCCAGGTCATACATTGAAGTCCCTCACTATTTGCTAGCAGTCAGTCCGGCTTCTCTGTCGCTACTTAAAGTCCCGGTAAGACAGTCTTCCCTCATGTCAACTGGCGGTATGAATGGAGGGCAACCTTCCTCCTCCACTCCAGTCTCAACCCTGCCCATCTGTCCACCATCTCCCCCCTCTCCTGAGTTTACCACCTCTCGCTCGCCCTTTCTCAACTTTCTGTCACCCACTCTGTCTCCCAGATCCCCGTCGCCTTTCCCCTCCTACCACTCTCCAGTGAGAACAAACACCCCCCTGTATGACCCTCTCCTGCGAACCCACTTCCCAACTCACTTTCAATTCCAATCCTCCTCCCCTGTTCCTTCCCGCCTCTTTCTTCGGCAATTCCCCCCCCCTCATTTCACCCACTCTACAGAACCGCGCCTACCCGCCCATCTCCTCTCATGAATTGCTGGAAAGGATTTTCGTCATCGATCCTCCGACAGCTTCCATTCTCCCGCGCCATCTCTTCCTCCTCCCATTAATCATCTCTCCCTCAATAAGAGACCTCCAAAGATCTCTTCTTCTTGCTAGATACGAATCCACTCTCAATGTCGAAGATGATGTGGATTTCGCCAAATCTGCATCCAAATTCTATTTCAGTACCAGGAACGGCAGAATCTTCATCCTGAAACACGACCCAACCGCGGAGCTGCTCTCCCATTTGTTCTTTTCTTCCACACTCCTCAATATCATCACTGTGGACAACCGCAAGCAAGCGGACCTATCTCCTTGAAAGTTGCTAAGAGCACGTTGAGATCTCGCAGACTTCAAGGAGGTCTTTGCAACAAACATCACAGTTAACTTCTACACCTTCTCTATGTATGTCGCCAGTCTGCGCTCGAAGGTTGCCTACAACTGGGCTAAGAAGGGTCTCCTCTGCCTCGTCGACAACCTGCCCGGGATCCCCTCCTCACCAGAACTTCTCCTCGCCATCATTAACTTCTTCAAGGATTTTCTCAGCTCCCTCGGCAGAGCAGCTGTCCAGATTATTCTCCTGGAAGAATTCATCTCTTGGGGACCGGGGCCTTGGTTTCAATTTATTAGAAAGAACGTATGTGACTTAGCTCCGACGTACTCCCTTTCTCCACCTCAATCCCTCTCCCCGAGAGAGTGCTTCACTCCTAATTTTTCCCATCGCCTTATCTTTTCCAAAAGAAGAGGGACCCTAAGCTTCTCATTCCCCGATCCCTCCTCTTAGTATGGGTCGTTCCGACAAGCGGGTACCTCATCGGAAGACCTCAAGGAAGAAGAACGGTAGCTTGTCTGACGAAGGTCATTCCTCCGACTCTCCCTCCCCACCCGAACCTCTTCTTCTAATCTCTCCTCAACCCTCTATCCCTCCCAAATCCATTCCAACCCCACCCACTCAACCGAAACCCCCACCTTAAAGACGCAAGAATCGCATCTGTATAAATATTGGCTTCATCATCTTGACCCTCATCTTTTTTACCTTCCTTACTCAACTCCTCATTCTCTACCTACTTCTTCGAGAAAGGCTGCCCCGTCAGCTGCCGCCAAGATCAACCTAGGATTAATCCCACCAGGGTAGATCTACCTCTTGTATTCATTCATCAGCTCTCTCATGCTCAGATTATGACATTTTCTAAATAATGAAATATACGGGATTAAGATGGTGAGTGATGGAGGGAAGATGGAAGGAGGAAGGAAGGAAACAAATCATAAGGGAAGACCATTTTAATAAACAGAAGCTACTTGTCAACTTTGACGAAGCATGGAAGTTGAAGGGAGAAGGAAGGAAACAAATCAGAAGGGAAGATCGTTTTAGGACCAGATTAATAATCAGAAGTTACCTGTTTTTCCGACTTAATTGTTTGATGCACCTATCAACCTTACATTTGTTACCAACGGTTAATGAAATATTTTGCAATATATTGTCCATTGCTTCTTTTCAGTTTTGGTTGGTACCTGTACTTCAAAATCGTGGCATTACTAAGTTTATCTCACTTCCCTAACTTGGAAAGTGTCGAGAAAAGCAAGTTATGATTAATTTTCTGTTTATCCTCACTCTTTAAAACCTTGTTTTTTACTCCCATTTACTGTGACTTCTCTATGGTAATGTCCTCCTTATCACCACCATGCAGAATGAGTCACTCATTAAAACATGCTCTTTATCAAAAAATAAAAATAAAAAGAATGGAGAGAAGAAAAAGGAGAAAGGAGCTGAATTCAGCAATAAATCATGGTGTAAACTTGTATGCTGTGTAGCATCGTGTTCGGGTTTGGTGACCGAACACGAACGAGTGCCAAAACCCTCCAAACGCGAATATAAAAATATTTATAAAAAAAACATTCTCAGAAAAATCTGAAAAAACTATATGTTATGTAAAATAATAATATAAACAACTTTTGTCTGGGAGGAATGCTCAAATTCGTAACCAAACTCGAGTTAAAATTCAAAAAAAAAATATATTTTTTTTAATATGTTCGGCCGATCACGTTCGGGAGGCATTCGACCGAACATGTTCGAACGTTCGGAAAAACTCTGAACATGTTCGGTGTGCTTCACAGCCTGCATGCAGAAAAGAGACCAACCACCCCAAATATGACTGTATCATCTTTAAAAAAAAAATAATAATACTAATATTTATATATTTAAAGAGAAAAAAAAGGCAGTCTGATAAGAGGGTGAAGGGGGGAGGGAGGTTGGAAGACGGAATCTAAAGATTCCTAGCCCACCTTGCCACCCTCAACTACCCCTCTTCCCTTCTCAAGTATTTTGCTACTTATCATTTTGACACCCTGCCTTGTTACGATATCATCCTTATCCTTGAAAGGTTCATGTCTCAAGAGTTAAGTGTAAACTGATAAATGTCTCCCTTAAGCATCTTAAAAAAAAAAAAAAAGGGGGGGGGAGGGGAAGAAGGAAAAGAAGGAAAGGGGGGTTGGGGGGGCGGGGCGGGAGGGGAAGAAGGAACAATGACAAGTTAGGAAATACAACTTTTGAACTTGCTTACTCCCATCCAGGTTACCAAGCTGCGCAATCATCTTACATTACTTTCTTCACCCACAAAACTCTATCTACTTTTTCTATATCCAACTCCTTATCTATGGATAAAGATACAATTGATTCAAATATGACCTGTTCACTATGGCTTTGTGTGATAATAAACCTGGTAAACTCTTTTCAAATTTTTGATCGAGATAGTAAAAAAAAAAAGAATGGACGATAGTGTCAGTGACCTCTCACAAAAAATTACGGCACAATGCCCTCGGCCATCAAACCACAATAAATCTTTTGGTGATAAAAAAAAAAAAACACTTACAAAGGTTTTCGGAACCAAGTGATTGAAGATGGGTCCACCCAATGTGTTATTTCTCAAACATATTTTCCACTACCCAGTATGCATATGAACGATTCTGCCTTCCTCTTATTTGGCTTTTTCCCATCGTGTTAAAAGATTTATGACAGAAAGT